CATATGCTAGGACCTGAGTTCAAATCCCAATACCACACACACACACAAATATGTGCAATTTGTGCAAGAGGACAGTATTGATTTTTAAAGAGCCATTATTAAAAAAAGGAACAATCTGAGTATTCAGAAAGACTTCTTAAAAAACAATATGAGTTGGAGGAAAATCTCAATAAAAAGGCTGAAAAGGAAAATAGACATAATTGAATACCAAATCAGTAAAAGAGCAAAACATGGAAACTTCCAAAACACAAAGCAAAAGAAGAAAAATTATGAGAGTGGAGGAGAGGTAAGCTGGATAGATCTAGTATCTATTCAAAAGGAGTTCCCAAAAAAGAAACCAGAAAAAGAGAAAAGAAAGAATACAAGAAAGCTCTTGGAAAGAATGGGCCTAAAGGAACCATCTAGTTTGAGCAATAATACTGAGAAAAATATCTTTACCCTGACACATCTTGACAAAACTTCTGAAATTCTGGACTAAAATCAGCCAATCAATCACAGACAATTCTTTTAAAAACATACAGCTGGGCACAGGAGGCTGGTAATCCTTCCTACTTAGAAGACTGAGATCAGGAGGACCAAGGTTCGAGTCAGCCAGGGCAAACAGTTCATGAGACTCCATCTCAACCAAAAATTGGGTATAGTACACCTGTTATTCCAAGCTACCTGGGAGGCTAAGATCAGGAGGACTGTAGTTCTAGGACAGCCCAAGCAAAAATGTTTGTGAGACCCCCATCTCAACAGAAAAAAGCTGGGTGTGGTGGCATACTCCTATTATCCCCAGCTAAGCTGGAAGCCTAAAGTAGGAGGATGGCAGCCCAGGCTGGGCAGGGCAGAAAGTGAGATCCTACCTCCAACATAACCAAAGCAAAAAGGTCTGGAGCATGGTTCAAGAGGTAAAGTACCTGAGTAGCATGCACGAAGCTTTAAACTCAACGCCCCCTCCCAAAAAAAAGTGAAAGAAAAAAGATCCTTTGAACAAGAATCATACTTGCTTGTCATTGTTCATCACTGTCTACAAAGTTCTTAGGATTTTGAGCCTAGAGTATTTACCTAGCCAATTTTCATTTTCAGCATTGAGCCAAAAGAAAGCAACTTTCAGCTGAGCATGGTGGTACATGCCTGTAATATCAGCACCTGGGAGATGAGGCAGGAATATCTTGAGTTCAAGGCCAGCCTGGTCTACATGGTGAGTCCCAGGTCAGCCTGGGCTACCCAGTGGGACCCTGTCTTAAAAAAAAAATACAAAAGAAAGCCATTTCCAGAGCATGGGACTTTAGGATATGATAAGACCTTGGAGATAAAATCCCTACTATCTTACTAATAGTAGTGTGACAATCTCTTAGAATGATTTACAAAATAGAAATATAATATCACTCTTCACATGTTAGAATTAATGGATGGTTTAAAATAGGTACCATTTATAAAGTGCCTGATACAAAGGGAAAGACCAGCCTTTGCATTCAGAAATCTACACACTAGCAGAGAGCCTCAGTACAACTTCTTAGGCTCAGGCAAGTATTGTCTAGAACAGGGGTTGGCTAACTACAGCCCCAAACCAATCCACCATCTGTTTTTATAAATAAAAATTCTACTGGCCACAGCCATGTTATTCATTTATATAATGTATATGGCTGATTTTGCACTATCAGAGGCAGAGATGAGTTAGTGCAACAGAGACTATAAGGTTGAAAATTGAAATTATTATCTGGCCAGTTCCTAATAGAAAAAGTTTGCCAACACACAATTCTAGCTCAAATATCACCATTTGAGCAAATCCTTCTCTAATTTCTCCTTTTGACAAAATTAACTGCTCCCTTCTTGTACTTCTAAAATACTATGTACCTACACTCCTATAACACTATCACACTGGATCAAAGTCACAGATTATGTATCTTCATTAAATAATGAGCTTCTGGGACACCCTCCGTTGGAACCCTCCCCTAGCTCTCGAGGCTGAATTCTCCCACTTTATACTTTGTTATCTCAATAAACTCTCTCACTTTACTAAAATAAAAAAAAGATGAGCTCCCTGAGTACATGGATTGAAGATTACTTCCAGATATCCCTAAACTCACAATTTAATCTTTAGGGCAAAGAATTTAGCTCAGTGGTAGCTCATGAGGTCCCATGTTTGATGATCCTAAGTACTGCAAAAACAAAAAAACAAGAGATTTCATTCAAAGCATATATAGCTAGCAACTACTTGGGAAAGTTCTGAGGATACAACAGTGAACATCAAACTTTCCTGCCCACGTGAAACTTACGTTCAGTGTGGAAAATACAGGAGAATAGATAAATAAGGCCGATATACAATGCATGCTATGAAGGAAAATAAGGAGCCGGGCGCTGGTGGCTCATGCTTATAATCCTTTATACCTGGGAGGCTGAGGTCAGGAGGATGTCAGTCAAAGCCAGCTCAGGCAAAAAAGTTTGTAAGACTCCTTCTCAATCAATAGTTGAAAGCAGTGCAAAAAGTGAGATTTTAACTAGAAAATAATCAGAACAAAATGGGTTGGAGTAAAAGTGCCTGCCTTGTAGGCATTGAATCCTGACTCAAACTATAGTACCACCAAAAGTAAACATACACATAAGTAAGGCAGAGTGAAAGAGGGAATGGGGTGGATAGTGTTCTATTATGTAAGATGTGTTAGTCAGGAAAGGTCCTGGATGAATTAGTGAATGGGATGAGTACCAGGAAGGCATGGAATGGTGCAATACTGCTTATGACTACCAGGAGAGTTGACAACTATATGAAGTATGAGAATAAGGGAGGCAGCTAGCCAGGCAACTTAGAAATTAAGTAATAAAAATTATGATTACAGTTAACATTTAAATACATATGTTGCTGGCCCAGAGTAAAACACAATCCCATATTATGCCATTTCATTATTCTAGCAATTTTCAGGTATATTAATTAAATACTAGCCTTATTTTATAGACAAGGAAATTGATATACAATTCATCCAAACGACACCAGTAAAAATGCTTTTAAAAAAGAAGCTGGCGGCTGGTAGAGTGGCTCAAGTGAAGCGTCTTCCTAGCAAGCATGAGGCCTAAGTTCAAATCCCAGAGCTGCCAAAAAAAAAAAAAAAAAAAAAAAAAAAGAAACCACTACCAAAAAGGAAGCTGGTTTCAATTTGAGATGATAAAAGTTCTGGAGATGGATGGTTGGTTACACGTGATGTAAATGTAATTTTCTCTTTTTTTTTAATTTGTGGCGGGGGGGGTGGCGGGAGAGGGGGGACAGGGAAGGGGAGGTGCTAGGTATGGAACCTAAGGCTTTATGAGTGTCAGGTAGGTGTTTTATCACTGAGCTACATCCCCAGTCCCCCACAATATTTTTTTAAAGCTATCAAAATAATTTGGAATGCACTTAAAAAGTAACCTACATGAGAAAACAACCAGTTTCTTGACTTCAAAGACAGGAAGAAAAACTGCCAGACTCCCTCAATCCCTTGTTTTATTCCTATCTGCTTGGACAATTAAAACACTAGCCATAGAGCTAGAGGTCTGCCTCAAGTGGGAAGAGTGTCTTGCCTTGCAAGCACAAAGCCCTGAGTTCAAACCCCAGTACTGCCAAAAACCCAAAACCAAAACAAAAGAAACATACCAGCTATTTCTGTTTAAAAGCACTCTAAAGGCCAGTGCATAAAAGTTTGTAACCTTCCACAATTTTTCTTTTTTGACAGTACTGGAGTATGAACTCAGGCTTCACACTTTGTTAGGTAGACACTCTACCACTTGAACCACTCCATCAGCCCTAAGAGTTTGTAACCTCAATTCATCTGCATAAGAGATAATTTGCTTATTAAGCCCATTATAATGCAAATATTTCGAAATAGTTACTCATTTCTTAAAAAAAAATTTGACAAGTTTCATCTTGGTAACACATGAGAAAATAACAACCTTTAAATAGTAGAATAAAGTAAAAAACTTCTACTCATGATTCCAAAATATCTACAAAGAAATATTCAAAATATGACATTTTTGTAATATCCATGGTATAAAAGAATTGCTCCTGTGAAAAATAAGCCAAATATATTTTTTATTTTTAAATTTAGTTTTTTTAAACTAGAGTGTACTACTATCTTATTTTATAGCAAAAAGAACACAGATAAATAAAGCTTTACAACAAAAAGCCAGGCACTGATACATGGTAAGTCTCTACCTTTTTTTTTTCCTTATTTTTACTTAACTGAATCACAAATATCAAGAATGAAAAAGGCCACAGTTCACCACTACATATGTCTATAATACTTAAATGAGTATGGCAAAACCAGCAATGCACAAAAATGAGTCCACTTTAAACTCAAATATAGTTAATTTCTTAGAATATTGGGTGATTTATCTGTCTCTCCCACCCCAATCTCTGTTGACAGCCTTACTATTGTCCCTAGCAAAACACACCACTTCAATAAAAATCCCCACGCCCACAACTCTCTGATGACCAGGGATATGTTAATCAATTAATTTACTTTTGGTGGTACTGGTGTTTGAACTCAGGGTTTCGCGGTTGCAAAGTAGGTGCTTTACTACTTTAGCCACACCTCCAATCTTCAGAGCCCAGTTTGGACATCATTTAAGGCTGTAGGGATTTGGCATATGTGTGCTTAAAATCCTTATAAGCCCAAAGGGTAGGCATTTTATAGACAAGAAGAAAAACAACACAAAGACAAAATGTTTAAAGTTAACAGTACCCTAGAAATCAGAAATTAACTATTATGTACAAATTATGGTAATATATCACCAAAAGGTATTATTAACAAGAGGACATGACAAAGTAAGATAGTCATTACTTGTTAAAATACATCAAAGCAGTTAGAATCTGTAATCTATATTAAAAAATATTGAATACATGTTTCTTTTACTCTTTTCTGAGACTAATATGGAAATAACTTAATGGACATTAAACAAAACAGCCACAGATACACAAGGGGAAACAAGGATGAATAGTGTACATTGTGTAAAAGGGACAACAGAATAAAAGGTGAGTAGCTCACCTCTTCTGTCCTCCGAGTCAGAATTACCTGTGCAGTAAGTGAAAAATAGAAATATTCACTTAAGTTAAAGAATAACGTTACTATTCAGTTTAAGGTAAAATGAAACAAACTCTAAGAATATAGGTTATTTTCTCCATAATAGGTGTTGGAGTTAGAATAAGGAATCTTTCAATAACTGGAAACAGACTGCCCAAGTTCACTAAACTTTAGTCAATGGCCTGGCCTTTCCCCTGAGTATACAATGTAGCATCAATATTAATAAAAAATTCAAGTGTAAGGAAAATCAAAAATATATGCTATTAGAGGAATTTATGTCTTTTGGATCATTAGAATGCAAGAGGAAAAAAATTAGAGATGTAAAACACCTAAATGATAAGAAGTAATAAATTATTATTCATTCAACTCTACATTTAAACAGAGAAAGTCTTTTTTTCCAAAGACTATGGAGTATCTTCAAGCCAATACAAGTCCCCAATAGTAGAAACAGTACATTATTCTTTTATCATGATGCAATAAAGTTAGAAATTAACAAAGTAAGAATGCATTTGAAAAGTAAAATCAAAATTAAAAAACATCTGAAAAATAATAATGGGGGTTGGGGATATAGCTCAACCATACCGTGGTTACCTTACATGTGTGAGATCCTGAGTTCAATGCCCAGTACCACAAAACAAAACTATAGCAATGATGAAACATTTCTTCTTGCCTTTGGTATAGACTTCCATTTTTTTTTTTTCTGACTACAAAGATGACCAGTTAAAGACTACATTAAAAAAAATTTTTTTTTTTTGCAGTACTGGGGTTTGAACTCAGGGTCTCTTGCTTGCTAGATAGGCACTCTACCACTTGAGTCACTCCACCACCCCTAGAGACAACATTTTGGGGACTCTGTTATGTGTAGTAATGTGATGAATTTCAGCTAATGGGATACAAGCAAAAGCAATGTGGATAATTTCCAGGGAGGTCATGGCTTTTGGAAAAGAAATTGCTAATCTCTAACCCTCTGTTTTCAGGGGCTGGAATCAGTGTCCAGTAATGAGAGTAGATAACCAAGCAGATAAAAACAATATTGTTGGGATAGCAGACATACGTTAGAAAAGGGACTTGATCCCTGGTGAGGCAGCAAAGCCCTCTGTTTACCTCTGAGGAGAGAAAGGTACTCTGGTCTTACTTCTCTTTCAAAGCACCTTGAACTGAACCCTAACTAACACAGCTACTTACAGAAATACATATGAGGAATGTCTAAACCCATATATATGTAAAGTTTACAGCATTAAATGTTAACCACAAAGAATGAAAATAGGTAATTAAGCCTCTAATTCAATATGAGAGAAGTAGCACAAAGTAACTCTAAACAGGGTGGAAAGAGAAAAAAAAAGAAATGAATGAGACAAAAAACTGAAAAGTGACAGAACTAATAACAACTCAGGAAATGGTTAACGTGGACAAGAAAAAAAAGAAGAACATATAAAACAAGGAATAGTCATAGCTATGTGGGAAATTAAACAATCATAGGAGATCACTTTTCCTCAAATTCAATGAAATAAGTTTGAAAATATGAATGAAATGCAGCTTCTATATAAACATTCAAATTCTTTTTATGAAACAAAACACTGGCAACTAAAACATAAAAACAGTACATACTCAAAGGAAAAACACAGTCTAAGCTCTTTTAGAAATAACTTGAAGGGCTAGAGGTATAGCTCAGTGGCAGAGTGCCTGCCTAGCATGAGCAAATCCCTGGATTCAATTCCTAGTACTGCAAAAACAAAAAAACCCTTGCAAATATCAATGGAAAAACATTCTAAATAAGACAGTATCACACAGATTGCAACAGTTTGCTACAAGAATGATACCTTAGCAAGTAGACTTGGTTGTACAGAAATGTACAGTTCAAAACTTAAAAACTTATTAATAGGACTGGGTGTGGTAGTACACACTTGTAATTCCAGCTACTCAAGAGATAAAGAGACTGGGGAGATTCCAGTTTGCAACTACCCCAGGCAAAAAGTGAGACCCCATCTCAACCAATAAGCTGGGCAGGGTGTAACATATCTGTAACCCAGCTATGTGGGAGGTGTAGGTTGGAGGATCATGGTATAAAAACATAAGACTCTGCTTAAAAAATAACTAAAGCAAAAAAGGGGCTGAGGCATGGCTCAAGTGGCAGAGTGCTTGCCTAGCAACTCTGAGGCCCTGAATTCAAATCCTTATTAAAACAGGAGTAAGTAAATATATTTGAAAAATGATAAAGTATGTTTACCTCAACTCAAGAGTCAGTCAGCACCATGTGAAAAACCACTGAAAATGTCCCGTTTGGAGTCCAGTACAAAGGAGGATATATTCAGATAAGATGATTTGATAACATATGATAACTTTTGAATAAAATTACTACACTAAGAGAATTTATTAAGTGATCAGTATAAAATATACCATCAGAAATCAGTAGCCTTCTTATCATCCCCAACAGCAACCAGTTAGAAGGTATAATGGAAGAAAACACTCCATTTATACTGACAAAACAAAGCAACTATAAAATGAGATTTGAGCAAATGGAATATTCCATACTCTTACATAGGAAGCCTCGACATTTTTAAGATGTCAATTCTCCCTGCTGACCTATATAAATTTTTTTCTATCCTGACAAGTTGATCCCAATGTCCTTAAGGAAAACTAGGGCTGGGGATGAGACTTAATGGTAGAGTGCTTGTTTGTTGAGCATGTGAGTGATCCTGGGTTTGGTCCCCAGCATGGCAAAGAACAACAATAAAAAGACATAAGGAAAAAGTTAAAATTATTTAAGTGGTAGGGGCTTTTTACTTGGACAGAGAAAAAGATCAATAAAAAAACACGATGAATACCTCAAAATACTCAAATAGGAAGCTATGCATAGGCAGCTTATAAAGTTTTGTGTGTGTGTGTGTGTGTGTGTGTGTGTGTGTGTGTGTGTGTGAGAATGTACTAGAATTCAGTATATAATAAAGGTGGCACTTCAAATCAAACACATTCATTATGGGATATTGGGACAACTAGTTAAGTCGTTTGGGAAAAATTTACCCATAGCTCACACTTAATATCAGAACAAATTTCATATGAATCAAAAATCTAAGCACATATCATGCATGTATGCATATAAATATGTACAAAGATAAAAGAAGCCTTAAGTTTAGAAGAAAACATGAGGAAATTATTTTAGAATTTTAAAGTAAGGCTTTCTTCCATATGACTCAATACCTGTAAATCATTTAGTTATTTGTGGTGCTAGGGATTGAATTTAGGGAAGTCTTGTGTATGGTTGGCAAGCATTCTACCAAAGAGGTATACCCCTAGCCCCCAACAAACTGATATTTAAAAACTCCAGACTGATGGGAGTAGCTCAAGCAGTAAGAGCCTCTGCCTAGCAAACCTGAAGCCCCAGGCCCAGCGCTACCAACAAAACAAAACAAAACAAACAAAAAAACTCTGTGAAATTTCAGAATAATAATGATATCGAAGATCCTAAAAGCACACAAAAAAATTAGGGGTTGGGACAGGAGTACAATTCTCTCTTTTTTAAAATTTTTCTTTCAATTTTAGTTTTTCTCTTTAGCAGTAGAAGTCTCCAAGCTTGGTAATTAGGAGGTCAGGGCATACTTCTGTGGGAACATTATTTCCTCCAATTTTATATAGAACTCTAAAGATACTTTCAATATATGGGAGGGGGTGAACTTGTTCAAGGTATACTGTACACATCTATGGAATCATCACAATGAAAACTTTCCACACTCTCAATATATGCTAATTAATTTCTTTTTTGGCAGTACTTTTTTTTTTTTTTTTTTTTTTACAGTACTGGTGCTTAAACTCAGGATCTTTACTTTGAGCCATTCTACCAGTTCTATTTTTTTGTGAAGGGTTTTTTGAGATAGGGTCTTGTGGAACTATTTGCCTGGGCTGGCTTCGAACCACAATCCTCCTGATCTCTGCCTACTGAGTAGCTAGGATTACAGACGTGAGCCATTCGTACCTAGCTAGTACTGGGTTTGAACTCAGGGCCTCATGCTTGCTAGACAAATGCTCTACCACTCAAGCTATATCCCTACTCTCGATATATGATAATTAAAAAGTTTTAAAAAAAGATACATTCAGACATGTCAGGTCTTATGCAATTTATCTATCATGGACCCCTTTCTTAAGCTACGAGAGGATGTATTCTACTAAGTGATGAAAGACAAAAAAAGGTAAGGACATGGGAGCCAGGAAGCAGCAAGGGGAATTCCTACAATGACAGAGAAGGGAAATCCCAGGCTGATACCTGTGTAGGAGCTTGACAGATCAACTAGCCTAGACTGGAATAAGGCAACAGAGGGCATAGGAGGAACTTCTGCTATTAGATAACAGATTATCTAATAGGCCTGTAGAAAACTCTACTGAGAGGCTTCGAAGAATATAGAAAGAACTGGCTAGCAATAATTAAACAGAAAATAAGCAAAAAATAAGGTAATTATTAAATATAGAAAAAAGTTGCACAAAAAATATCAAATCATACTATAATGTGGCAGTGAACAATGTTTCAGTCATAATAATATAACACATCATGTCTAGCACCACACACATACATACACATGCACCTATATAATAACACATATTAATAAAAACATCAACCATGAATAAAATTATGATGTAAATAGTAATGGTGGTGATGGGTAGAATATGGAGTTTAAGACTGAAATGCTCATGTACCTAATAGCTTTCTTGTGTTTTACTGATCTTGAATAAAAGCCATCAGTGATAGGTAGTCTCAGTCTCCTTATGACACGAAATGTGTTAAATGTACAATTTTAACTATGCATAATTTGGACCTAACTCAGTGTATGGAAAACTAAGTTTCCTACCAACAGTGTGAAAAAGACCACAATAGTGAGAAATACGTCTAATTTGCTGTTTGCAAGCTTTGATAGTGTAGGGTTTTTTTCTTTCTTTCTTTTTTTTAGTGGTACTGGGGTTTGAACTCAGGACCTCACGCTTGCTAGGCAGGTGCTCTACCACTTGAGCCACTCCACCAGCTTCAAGTTTTGATATTGAAAGTAAATCATTTACCTTCTATCTATAGTCTTACATTAAGCATGTATTAAAAAGATATAATTATCCATGGTCACCTCACAGAATTGTTAAATGAAAGACAGCCACATAATAAAACATGGGCTATGAAGTCAGTTGCACTTCATCTCACTTCTTCCATTTGCTCTTTCAGCTTGTCCAAGTTATTCTACCTTTCCCCTTAAGCAATGGCTATAACCAACAGCAAGAAGTACATTTTATGTTGTTAATCATTATACATACCCATGTGCCTTTGTGCATAACAAAGGTTTCACAAAATTATACAATGTATGTAACATGAAACGAATAGAAATGGAATAGGACCATCCATTAAAACAAAGCAAACATTACTGATGGCCCATTTAAACAGATTTGATGAGTGGGTCATAATCTGCACTTTGCAAAATACTACATAAATTATGTTTTTCATCGTAAAATTTCTTCACCTATAAAACACAAAACTTATCTCATGAGATTATTCTATAAAATTCTTACTAGTAATTAAAAATATAATTAATGTTATAAACTATAATTAATGCTAGTTATAAAACTATAATTAACATTAAGGTATAAAGCAAATATCAGACATTATTTGTCTGCAGTTCTCTATCTAATGGAGAATAGTGAAGCTGGGTACCAGTGGCTCACATCTGTAATCCTAATTACTTGGCAGGCTGAGCTCAGGAGGATTGAGGTTTGCGGCCAGTCCAGGCAAATAGTTCATGAGACCCCGTCTCCAAAACTAACCAGAGAAAAATGGACTAGAGGTGTGGCTCAAGTGGTAGAGCGCCTGCTGAGTTCAAATTCCAGTCCCACCAAAAAAGAATAGTGAAATGCCATAGTATTTTATCTTACAATAAAGGTGCTCTACTACTGAGTTACATATCCCAGTCCTTGGTTTTTTGAGACAGGGTCTCCTTTTGCAACTCAGGTTGACCTGAAACTTGCTATGTATCCATGCTGGCCTTGAACTAGTGATTCTCCTGCCTCAGCCTCCAGAGCACTAGGTTTACAAATGTGCACTACCATGTCAGGCCATATATTTTGTCGATAACCACTAGAGTAGTAATTATAAAATACTAGCTAGTACTTTAAAAAAGGGCTTACTATGTGCAGGCACCATAGTAAGCAATTTACCCATATTAATTCATTTACTCTGAACAACTCTAAGAACTATTACTATCATTCATTCCTATTTTACAGATGAAGAAAATGAAATAAGATAGATTGGGTAAGCTTACCTATGGTTGCATAGCTAATTTTATGGCAGGGTTGGGATTTAAACAGATAGTGTGGCTCTGCAGACTATGCTCTCAACACCAAATACTTTATCACAGAAAAAATGAGATTAAAGCAGGTATAGGGCCTTGGCTATAAAGTCCTGCTGAAAGATGTCATTTGAGATGATAAATGAGATTAACTTCGGTAAGTACTTTCTGAATGTTCCCATGAGTCAGACATGATTCCAACCAGGGGAATCCATGAAGCAGGGAAGAAATTTGACCCAAGAAGATGGGATCATAGGAGAGAATATAATGATTTTTTTAGAAAAGGAGTCTAATTATGTGGCAATCAGGGAACAATTACAACTTTTACCACACAGAAGTTCTTTAAGGGACCCTATAAACCCTCTTTTACAGACTAGGAACCTGGCAAGGCCAGAAACTTGCCCTACTCCACCTGGTTTCAGACTCAGGGGTCTGATGCTATCTTCTGAGCTTTCACATCAATTCAGTGATTCTTTTTTAAGGAGACAGAGGGCTGGGCTGAGGCTCTGAGCAATTGGCCCTGCACTGTAATAGTTTCCCAGAGCCCCACTTTGTAACTTCACACCTGGACACTAGTCTACTGCTCTGTATCTAACTATAATGGGACATACATTTCTATTTTCCTTCCCATGATCTCCATAGATCCCTTTCTTTTTCAAGGCTAGTTCTATTATTCAGTTTCTGTATCTTTTCATCTTCAGTTTGTTGTATCATCAACTAGCTCCTCTCTTTCTCCTGTATTTTCAACTTTCTTTACCTTTAAACATGTTTAAACCCCTCCAATCTAACCAGGATCTCATCTAGCAGAAAGATATAATCCAGAAAACTCTATGCTAACCAGATATTAGTAAAAATTCCTATATCTAAGCTTCATTATTTGCTTGAGCAATTTTACTTATTTTAAGAAATCTTATGGCTAATAAGCACATACAAAGACAATGAAAGGGTGAATAAGCAAAACACAGAACAAACAGAAACCATCTCTGGTACCTGAAGGAGGGAAGGTTTCTGGAGTGGTTGCTGCAGTGCTGGAATTCCCCTCCCAGGGTTCTGTTCTGGCATCTGTGAACTGGTTATCTGGAAGCCACGTTCCATTTGGTGAAATGGTAGTGCCTACAAAATTAGTGCTTGCTGTCTGCATGGTCCCATTGTCAGAGTGTGAAGAATTGACAGCGGTTACATATGTAGGTCCCAGAGTTAGGTTTGAGCTGGATGTTGGTGCCACAGAAACTGTTATCGAAGAGGGTGGATTTGAAGTTTTGTTCTCTTCTTTAACTGACTCTCCTGTTGATGCTTTAATTGATCTTGTAGTTCCCAAAGAAGGCGAAACTACAAACATCAAAAAATAAGGAAACATCACATGAAGAATGTGAAGCTCAAAAGTTAAGATACAAGATACAAGAAGTTAATAAACGTCTTAAATACTAAATATTTGGAGACCAAATACAGACCACACACACACACACTCTCTCTCTCTCTCTCTCTCTCTCTCCTTTATCTAATGCTAGGCCCTTTGTACTTCCTCCAAAAGACTACTATCTATGGCAGGAAGATTTCACTTAGTTTCTCAGAATCAATACTTGAAGTCTTAAATATCAACAATTTCTTTTACTTTCAGGAAATAATACTTAATTTCTCTGATATATCAGAACAATGCTGAACATTCAGTACAATTCAGAAATCTCTAAAGACAATTTTAAATAAAAAATTAATGTTTTCTTTAACACCACCTAGGTCTTCAAATTTGGGTCATTATATATGAAAGCAAAATTCTAATTCAAATATTAGCCTTCTCAAATGACAGTTTACCTGTGGTAGCATTGTTGGCACTGACACATATTATACTACTGCCGAGCAGAACAAGAATGAACCAGGAGTCCATGCTGACCTGGAAAACAGGGAGTTGTGTTAGATGAGGTTCTATACTATGATAAGTATGTCCAAATGTCTCAAAATATAAAAGAGTACTTTGGGCAGCATCTTCCTAGCTATTAAAATATGTATGCAGGGCCAATGATTGTGAGAGACTGATACATGTTTCCCCAGAAGTCCAACTATTAAGGGGAGGCTTTATTTTGTTTTTGCAATACTGGGGATTGAACCCAGGGTTTCATCCTTGCTAGGCAAGCATTCTACCACTTGAACTATAACCCCAGCCCTTTTATTTGTATTTTGTTTTTGAGATTGGGTCTTGCTAACTTTGCCAGGCTGCACTCAAATTCATGATCCTCCTGCCTTCACCTCCCAAGTAGCTGGGATTACAGGCATGTACCACCACTTCCAACTTTGAATTTTTATACAAATAAAGGTAGGTTTAAATAAATGTTTTTTTTTTTCTTCCCTTTTTTGAGACATGATCTTGCTATGTAGCTCAGGTTAGTTTTAAACTTAAGATCTTCCTGCCTCAGCCTCCAGAGTGCTGAGATTACAGGCATGTACCATCATATTCAGCAAGAATGTATCTTTTAAAGCACTGATTCTCAACCCTGTTTACACTTTAGAATCACCAGAATACTGTTCAAAAATGCCTGTTACACACTGCATCTCTGTAGGCGAGAGATAGGTAGTGAAGTTAATTTCTGTGTTTTCACAGTGACAAGTATGGAGAAGGTAGGCTGACTGCACTAATGTACTACTTTTTAAAGTAGACATTATATAGGCTGTTCTCAAACTTTATTCCACATCAAACCATGTAAGAGGACAGTGGCACACTCTTGTTAATAAGAGTGACTCAGATTTCTATGTTCTATTGTGAAGTAGATACCAGAGAAACAACTGGGAAGTAAGCAATGCACTTATAAGGCTTATCCTCATGAGACTAACAGTCTAGAAGTAATTAAATATGGTAGTCACTCTCTAAGGGAAAGGGGACATGACTTCCAATAAGAAAATCTTTGGTTGGGGGTGGGGTAGGAGGGAGAAGTTGACATTTCATCTACACCCTAGAAATCTGCCATCACTAGTATGCCTAGCAGGGGAATACATTCAGTAGGTGGCCTTCCTGCGGTATAGACACACAAAATTTTGACCACTTTCCTAGGCTGTGACCATTAAACCAGTAATATATTAGGTTTTTATAGCTCTGAAAGAGCTGGATAGGGAACTAACATTGAATCCAGCTCAATTCTGACCTACCATATTCCAAAATTGGGAATGTGTACAATTCTCTCCACAAGGATCAGGAAATACACTGGCAGGCTGATTAGTGTATATGTACATGTGTTTACACGTGATAAATCAATAGGAAATGGGCTTGGGAAAATAACTATGTATTTGTGGGGAGTCAGACCATTATCTCATTCCATATACCAAAATAAATTCCAGTTGGGTTACAAAATTAAGCTTAAAAATACATTTTAAAAGAGAATAAACAAACATTTATGTGAGCTCAGGATGAGGAAGGACTTTTTAAGTATAAAAGCACTGTAAGAAATCACAGAGGCAAAAATGGAACATCTGAGAATATAAAAGGAAAGCTACTAAATGTAAAAGAAATCAACCATAAGCAACGTTCATGGATAGGAACACAATCCTAGTTTTGTTAAGATAACAATTCTTCCCAAGTCTGTCTATAGATTAATGCAATCTCTATCAAAATTGCAGTAAGTTATTTCTGTTTAAACTGTTTCTAAAGTTTATATGGGGAGGCAAAAGAGTCAAGAGAGCCAATTCAATATTGAAAGAGAAGAAAAAAGTCTGAGGACTTACTACCTGACGTAAGACTTGTATCAAAATTATAATGATTAAGGCGGTGTTGTGTTGGCAAAAGAATGGACAGATAACACAACACTGAAACAGAATAAGAGATCAGAAATAGTCCCTCAAGAAGCAAAAGCTTACAATGGAGCAAAAATAGTCTTTTCAACAAATGGTGCTAGACTTCTACACACAAAAATATCTAGATCATGCCTATGCTTTCACAAAAATTAACTCAAAATGGACCACAGACTTATATGTAAAACATAAAACTCTATAATCCTAGCAGATAATATACAGAGAAAATCTGGATGACCATGGGTATAGTGATGACGTTTAGAACATATTTTTCCCTTAGCCTGGTAATGACTTTTTAGATATAACAACTCATGAAAAAAATTTATAAGTTGAACTTCATTAAAACAAAAAACTTTCAACCTGCAAAAGACAATGTCAACAGAATAAGACGAAAGCTACAGACTAGGAGAAAGTATTTGCAAAATCCAAAATTACACAAAGAACCCTTAAAATTCAAAAATAAGAAAACTAACAACTAGATTTTTAAAAAAATGGGCAAAAGAATTGGACACCTTACCAAAGAAGAGCTATATCTAGAATAAGCAAGAACCTCAGAAAGTATTCATATTGTTTTGTCCTATTTCTTTCTGTTTTTGTGGTACTGAGGTTTGAACTCAGGGCCTACCCCTTGAGCCACTCCCCACCAGCCTTTTTTGTGAAGGGTTTTTTTGAGATAGGGTCTCATGAACTATTTGCCCAGGTTGGCTTCAAACTGTGATCTTCCTGATCTCTGCCTCCTGAGTAGCTAGAATTATAAGTATGAGCCACCTGCACCCAGCTGTTTTGTCCTATTTCTAAGGTTCTATTCTTTTCTTTTTGGCAGCACTAGGGTTTGAACTCAGGGCCTCATGCTTGCAAGGCAGGCACTCTTACTGCTTGAACCACTCAAGCAGCCCTTTGTTGTGATGGGTTTTTTTGAGATAGGGTCTTGTGAACTATTTGCCTGGGGCTGGCTTTGAACCCCCCCCCCCCCATCCTCCTGATCTCTGTCTCCTGAGTAGCTAGAATTACAGACGTGAGCCACCTGCGCCTGGCATAAGTCTTTCACTTTTAAAGCCTGAAGCAATAGGCCTTTGGCTATCTGGGCTTGGAGCTGTAAGTTGTTGGCTCTGCCAGTTCAGTCAGTCCAGAAAGAGCTTCTTCTTATTCTACCCATGATTCCTATCCAGGGAGAGCAAAAGGACCCCAGCCAGCTGATTGGTAAAGTTTCTCAAAGAAAACATGTAAAATTCCTTGTTATCTTTTTCAGTCCTCCAGGTATCATTCTCTCTACTCTGCTTCACAACCACATTTCTAGAAAGAGCTGCCTCCATGGCAATCTGGCTTCCTTTTCCATCAGCCTACTAAAACAGCTGCTTCCACTGACCTCTTTAAAAATATCTGGTATGGTGCCAGTGGCTGACACCTGTTACCCTAGCAGTGTGGGAGGCTGATATCAGGAGGACTGGAGTTCTAGACCAATCTGGGCAAAAAAGTCCATGAGACCCCCATCTCAACAGAAAAGATCTGGGCATGATGGTGTATGCCTCCATCCCAGCTATGCAAAAGGCCCAAATCAGTGGTTCCAGGCCAGCCTGGGCAAAAAAGTTTGCAAGACCCCATCTCAACAGAAAAAAGCTGAGTGTGGTGGCACATGCCTGACATCCAAGCTATGATGGGAAGCCTAAAATAGGAGGACTGTGGTCTAAAAAGCAAGACCCTCTCAAAAATAACCAGAGCAAAAAGGAATGGAGGCATGCCTAGCAAGCATGAAGCCCTGAGTTCAAACTCTAGTACTGCAAAAACAAATTGTATACATACATACACACATCTATACCCACATACATATACATAAAACTCATTCGCAAGGTTCTGTTTCCTTAACATATAAAAGGTTCTTATGGATGAATAAAAAAGGGACCAACAACCCACAAAAAACACAAAACAATTCTCTAAAATGTGTGAAAGATGTCATCTTTTCATGATCAGAGAAAACCAAATTAAAACTATTCTGAGATACCACTTTTCATGTATCAAACTGGCAAATAAAGAAAAAAAATTTAGCACTGCTAGATTGGCAAGAATTTGAATAAATAGGTACTCTCAAATAACCTGTGAATATTTGTCAGAATTACAGATGCACAAATTCTTTGACACAATTTCATGACTGTGAACTTATTCTTCAACTATAGCCTTACTTTCAAAGTGACTCATCAACAGGTTATTCAAAGCAACACTGTTTTGCAAGAGAAAAAAATTGTAAATAAGCAAGTGTCCATCAATGGGGAGGGGACCATAATCAACTATGGCATATTTAATCAATGGAATATACTATGCAGCTGTTACACAGAATGAGGAAGTTCTTTGGAAATATTTAATTTCAATATACAATACTGCTTAAAAACTTAAAATACCTTAAAAACTTTTCTACCAAATTAAAATTCAGTAAAGCAAAAGCCTACTGGCATGCCTTTCCCCATTATCTCTTTGTTCTTGATCTCTTCGTTACATCTTACTTATTGACACTCTTTTCTATCCCAAAGTCACCACTCTTTCCGCACCTCTTTCTGAATTGAGGATTTTAAAAGCTAATTTTACAATGAAGATCTAGCTTTAATGTAAGTAAACGAAGGGTTTGAATCTGAGGAAAACATGTACTATCAAACATCAGAAGGTAGTCAGCCATCCCACCTGTAAAGTCTGCATGCTGAAAACCCTATACACACATTCTAACAATGGGTATGGTTCTGCCTTGTTGTAAGATGAGTTTAAAATGTTTCTGATATTTCAAAAATGAATTTTCTTGCCAGCTACTTACAAAACTAAACATACCTCCTCTATGATCCAGGAATTCCATTCTTATATACTTCCAAGACAAACAAAAATACGTCTACAAAAACACTTGTACAAAAATGTTTATAATAACAAAACTGAAAACAACCCAGATGACCACCAGTAAGAGAACATATATAGTGGTATATTCTCACAATAGACTACTACTCAGCAATTAAAAAGGCAAAAATTACTGACACACATCATGGATGAATCTAAGAAAAATCATGCTGAGCAAAAAAAGCCTTGCATAAAAAGAGTATATAATGCATTATTCCATATACATGAAAATTCTAAAACAAC